AGGCTAAAGAGAAAAAAGATAAAGAAGAAAGAGAAAAATAAGAAAAATTGGCTGCTGAACGTGCTGAAAGAGATTTATTACTTGAACGGGGTCGTAAGTAACCATATAAGGGATGATCATTATTTAATATGTTTCATCTTTTTAAGCATTATTAGTTATAAAATTAATAACTTCTTCAATCAAATTATATGTTCCTAATCCAATATTTGGGATTAGAATAAACATTTCAGGTATTTTCTTTTTCCTAAGGATATGATTTTCATTATACAAATTTATCATAGATATATATATTGGAGAGAATAAGTTACTTTATTTTATACATTTATATTATTCCTAAATTAAATGACTTTGCAATTCTAACATCATGAATTAGATTGAATTATTTTTAATAAATTCTTTCTTTTTTATATCACTAACGAATATAGATCTCATTAATTAACATCTTCTCTGGAACAAATGTAGCTCTATAATGTCAGTAAATCTCATTATGGTTTATACTACTCATAACTAATAAAATCCATAATTGTTAATTAAGTTACATATAATTAAAAGATTTGTGACCAGATTAAATTGAAATCAGAGTGATTAAGAACTAAAATTAGGGTATATAAATTAACAATATTTTGAGAAATCAATAAAATGGGGCTGCAAAGATTTCTGCCTAAATTATTCCCATAATATTTAAATCTTAAATGTTAACATATGATTTAAAAACTTGCATATTGATTTTTTTGTATATAATCATCTAAATTGTACTACATGTTCTAGATTATGTTAATTATGTTAATTATATTAGATCGTGTAATTATATGTGCTTATATTATAATTTATAATAATTTTTGAAATTTTTTACAAATTTGTATCAAAATGAAAAATGAATTTATTTATATTTCATTTGTAAAAAAATATATGTATTATATTATTATTTTAATCAACTTTTTAAAAAGTAATATAGTTTATTATAATATATTGTATTTTATAACATTAAGACGATTATTTGGATTTATATTATTAATTTAATAAACATTCTAAATTATTTTTTGAATTTTATAAAATAAATAAGATTATTTAAAATTACAAGAATATAATATTTAGATTTCTAAACAAATTAGATACAATTATTAATATTTTATATTTAAACAACTAATATTCAAAACTTTATTATCTTTTAATATGTCAATAAAATTATAGCTTTATTTGCATATTATCATATATAAATATTGCTTAAAAATACTAAGTGAAATTAAATATCTACCGAAGGAGATAAATTTATTCTATTTTATTTCCATAAATTTATTTGTATTTGAGATAATTCACAACATATCAGTAATTAAATGTCTAACTGAACAAGATAAATAATATTTGTATATCTTTCCATATAAACAAACTTGAAGGTTTAAATCCACAAATTTTCAGCACAAAAAGACTTTTTATTTTCATACCTAATTGGAGATAAAATATAAATATCCAAGAAAATTAAGATCAAATTAAAAAATACATAAATCAACAAGTAGCTATTCGAAATTAAATATGATCAATTTAAATTTGTTCATATTCTAATTGAAAATTTATTTATTTACTTAGAGAATATATAATTAATAGAAGGTAGAACCTAATAAGATTTTTTGAATTAAAGAGGAGATATGCAAGATTTTGAAGAAGAACCGTCTAACAACATCAAATAGTCAGATAAAGAGAACCTTTAGAGGTGGATGAAAAAGAAACCCTAACAACACATCCTTGAAAAGAATAAACTCCTATATTATTGAAGCTTTAGATAAAAAACACTTAGGCTGAGGATTGGAAACTTCAGAAATTAGTTACCCTAAATCGAAAGTGAAGGATTAATCACAGAACTCAATTCGGAATGACAATTATCAAATGGGAAGAAACTTTACACATATTCGATATAAGTAGAGACTTCCACTCCCCAGTATTTCAATAAACTTCCACTATGAAAACGCTATTCGATTACTTAGGGTAAATTAGCATTAAAATTTAATAAGGACTAAAGAAAAAGTCATATATGATTAAATTTGATTCGGGCTTAGCAGCTGATAATCATACATAAAATAATATTATTTATCATATGATTGATAAAAGATATTTTGAAAATGTTAATCAGGACTTTACGTATTTATTTAAAGAATGTAAATCATGACCAATATTAAAGTTAAAAAAGAACTTTTGATCCAAACCTCATAAAGCCAATAACCATAGCACATTTGATGGAAAATAACCCTGAAAAAGTAGATTGGTTTGCAAGTATTATCTGTGGATACTTATCACTATAGAACTAAAAGAAAAATTTCTTGAGATGATCTTCCTAGCAAGATACAAATAGGTAATTAAACATTCAAAAAAGAAGGATGATTAGATCGACTATAGGTCAAAAATGTGGTCCCAGGAATACCTAGAGAAAATAATGAGAAGACATCAAATTGATCATGAAAATTATACGAATTACTACAAATACATTATATTATTAACTCCATAGGTCATCAGCCCTAAAGTATAAGGCATCAAAAGGAAGATAAATCAACTTTTAAAATATTTTTATTAAAAGAAGATCATACAGAATTATCAGAAGGATCAAATGTAATATCATATGGATATTTTTGGGGATAAGAAATAGCAATAGAAGTAGCTTATATATATTAACCAGGCTACATAACCTGAGAGATATTATGATGTAATTGTAGACGAAAATACTGATTTATATCATTTTTTGATTAACAATTTAAAATTAGAATTATTACATAATCTATAGTAGGAAGACAGAGATGATAAAAGAGTTATGAGGAGTAATTAGAGGGCATATATATCCAATAGGAAGGGCGGTAAGGTATAGTCGGATAGTTCAGATGAAGAATGAGATAAACTAATAGTCGAAGAAGAACCAGTAAAGAACAGATAAATCTCTAAAATAAGTAGAGAATATATATGTTTCAGAGGAAGAAGCTTCTATTAATACGATTAGAAAAAGGATATCTCCCAACTAACCTACAGTACCTAAGCTAAATAACCTATCTGATAAGAAAAAAATGGTGGAGCTGAAGAGTAATGAGCTCTTGACTTTAAGGCCAGAGAGGGAAAATAGCAAAAGTCATTGCTGAATAGAAACTGACATCTTTCTTTTTAGTAAGTTCGTAAGAGTTAGAAGAAATGAATGAAAAACAAGACTTTCATAAAATCTTTTAAAAATATACGATTATAATTCATATTTATTTAAGCAATTTTCTGATTTGTAATTATTCTGATTGATCATCCCAAGTCACTAAATATTTGCAGTCTGGAGTAATGCATCCTACTATCCTATCTGATTGAAATTCAAAGCTTTTGATTATGAATTCAAAATCATCTGTTATTCTAAAAATGAAAATTTAAGATCCATTTTAATGGAAAAAAACAGATTTAGATTTGATATATATCTATGAAGAAACTTTCATGCTTTCGCTATTTTTCTTTAGCTCAATCTGGCCTGATTTAAGAAACTCTTCGCTTCCTTCTTTTCTTTAATACAGCTCTAGGACTTTCTAATTATAAGGCTAAAATGTAAAGAGTGAATCATTTATGAAGCTTAAACTTAATCCCCATTAAGTTGTTTGAATATATCTTGCTTCTAACCACAATAGATCTTTACTATGTTTAGTACTGATAATAATCTTGTTCTCTTGTCTAGCACAAGAAATCAACTAATTTTCAGCTTAATTTAATGATAAAGAATTAATTTCATTTTCATGATGGAATAAAGTTTAAAAATGAATCCATTAATTCAATTTTTTCCAAATCATTATTTTCTTATCTGTTGCTCCTGTGATCATTAAATTTTCATTTTTTGATAAGACCAAACAGCAAATAGCTCCTGAATGGCCATCAAGTTATTATTGTAATTTCCATATTTACTCATTATTTAATTCCCAAATAAGTATTAAATTATCTCCAGCTCCAGAAACAAATGTTGATGATTTTTTCATGAAATGAAGACATGTCACTTTATCTTTATGTTAATTTAAACCTTAAATAGATGTCAGTTTCCCATCAAACTTAAATACTGTTATTAGCTTACTCTTTCCTACTATCATCGTAGTGACCTCTTCATTAAAAGCTATTGCATAAATTTATTCTTCTTTATAAGAATTATCTTAAAGTAATTCAAAATTAAGCAAATTTTAATAACCTATTGTTATTTGTTCCTTTTCTTTCGAATCTTCAATTTATACTGATTTAATCAATTATTCAGACGGTTACAAAATTTACTAATTTACATCAGTGTGAAAATATTCTCTAAATATAGATTTTTAATCTCTAATTATTGATTAAATTTTTTCATATGAACTTTCAACATCAACTTAGATAAATAGGAGTTACTACATGCATTAACTCTCTATTTCTTTAATTAAGGTTTTTTCAGGTTTTTAATTGCTTAAAATGTTTGCAATTGATATAATATCTTTCTTGTCTAAATATTACCAATCCTTTTTTAGAAGAAATCTATTTTCTTTAAAAATCCAATTCTAATTTTATTTTATTAAATTAATCTTTTCAATACAACCATCAATTAATTAACAAATTTAATCTTTAACTTATAACAAGCTTTCTATTGCTTTTCCAATCTATTTATTAATGAATTTATCATTTTTGTTTATTGAACTTTAAATTTCCAGAGATCGATTTTCCCAAAGCTTTTTCAAAGTATCAAGTGTAGTATATTATGTAAAATATTATGGCACACATTTCATACATGCTACTCTAGATGGAACTACATTAGATTAATTTAAATCTACATAGTAAATCTTATCTTTATGTTCCTCGCATATCCATTAATTATTAATATCAGACTCATTATTAAAATTATACTTCATATATAAATCTTTAAACGCATTTTCCTAAAATTTTTATTCATCAATGTTTATCTAATTGAGTATTTTTTCAGATTCATTTTACAATTATGTATAATTAACTTTTTTGATATATTATAGCAATGAAACCTATATATTTTTATATATGGAGGTTTCTTAACATATCAATTTGGAAAAGGTTTAAAAATCCTCATTATTACTAATTTATAAGGTTTCTTGAGATTCCTCTTTAACTTTCTTTATTAATTCAACTTAAGTATCGATATATGTTATTGCAATGTTCATTACATCTGAAATTTAATTTCTTTATTTTTGAAGGTAGATCTTGATAGAGTGTAAGACTTCTAAGTTCTTATTTCTCTTCGTTTAAATTTCCCTCATGAATTACAATTTGACTAAAGAAAATTGCTTTTCTAAGTCTTCTATGAGCATTAAATTCTTATTCATGTTTACAATACATTTCTAACACAGCTTTCTATTTTTTAATTCACTAAATGCTGAACCATAAAAAACTACTTTCTATTAATGTTCTGGGCAAAAACTCATTTAAACAAATAATCAAACAGTTAAATTTCTAATAATCTTTATCATATACTTTAAATTAAAATCACATTAATAATTATCATTTATAAAATATGTTTTATAATCTCTTATAAATTAAAAAAAGTAATAAATAGTATGAATTAAGCAGGAAGTCTTTTATATTTAGTTGTAAACATTTAATATAGAATTAATTGAATTATATCAATTTTACTTGATTTAAATTAATTTTATGAAAGTTAAGAAATTTCAACTAATTTTAAACTTTATAATTTTAATATAATTTTATTGGAATGATTTATATACAAAAAATAAACATCGAAATATAATCAAATGATGGATTAATTATTTTTTTTAATATTTTTTATTATAAATATTTCAAGATGAATAATGAAGCGAAAAGAATTATGAAAATAATGCAATAATAAATATGGTGATAACTTTTTTTAATAAAAATATTATAGAGCATTTTAATTATAAAAATAATGAAACATTTTCAACAAGATTCTTGCTAATAGCATAATAAAAAGGCTATTTTCTTAAATTAATCAGAAGTTGATCCATAGTTTAAGAATTTATGTCTTCAATGTGTTTCAGAATTAAAAAATGAATTAATTGTAATCGAAGATTTCTAATAATCAATATAAGAACTTATAATTAATTTGATTAAAGAACGAGAATAACTTAATTAAAATAACCTTTAGTGTTTAATTCATTTGAAGGATTGCATTTTGTAGTTCAAAATGAAATAAATAATATCAATTGACAAGTATATTCAATGTATTGATTAATAAATCAATATAATGGATGAGTTTTAAAAATAAATATATGATTACTAAATTCCAATAGACAATGTTGATTAATTTCTTAGTAAATATACTGAAATTGAATAATTACATATAAATTATGAAGGTATTAGGGATGTCTTAATGAGCAACCTTAACTCAATTCAAATATAAGATTTAATGCCAGAATTTTAAGAAATTATAAATAACATTATATTTGAATCTTAGACTGATGTTGTTGTTACTCTATCACATATAAAATCTCATATTTTTCCTAAAAATTATGATAAAGAAAAATTGAAAATATTTTGTGAGAAACATAATAGATAAATATTGATGTTGGACTTAAATAAAGAAAAAACACTTCAAAATAGATTAGCTTGTATTGATTGTATTGAAGAATATGCAATCAAATTCACAAAACTAGAAAATTTTGAATAATAATGGAAAGATTATTAAAATACAATCTAATAAGAGAATAATAAATTTAATGAGAGAATCACTAATACTAACAAAACCATATTGCAATATATGAATGACTTTTATAAACTATTGTAAAATGAATTGAAATATATTCAAAAATAATTGACCGGTCATGCAAATGATTATCGGAAGAAGATAAGACAACCCATATTCAAAACCATATTCTAATTGTCAAAAGAAGAAATTTTCGAAATAGCTGAAGAATTAAGTAATTAAAATACATAAGAAAAATTAACAAAAGAATTTGAATCTCAATATCATATTTTTAAAATATAGTTGGATAAGATCTTGGAGGATTAAGAGATTATTATATAACAACTATATAAAAAGATGTAAAAATAAATATAAGAATCTTATTATAATAGTATAAATTAACATAATATTAATTAATAAAAAATTAAACCTTTTAAATATGAAATCATGAAATAGAATTGTATTAAATAGTAAGAGTCCTGTTATGCATTAGCTTTTAATAATGATTCATCAATATTAATTGCCGGTTGTAATACAAAAATCAAAATATACTAATTTATAAATGAAGAATTAAAAGAAAAGTAAATTATTTCAGAACATAAAGAAGATGTAACATGTTTAATATTTATGAAAAAGAGAAACCATTTTATATCAGGAAGCAAAGATGGATCTATTATAATTTGGTCAATTGATAATAATTAATAATGGTATTGTTAATAAAGATTGGAAGATCATAATGAAAAAATACTTTGCTTAATTTTAAATGAATTTGAGGATCTTCTTATTTCTAGTAGTTGGGATAAAACTATCAGGTTCTGGAATAATACAACTAAATGGATAAATACTTAGACTATTTTAGAGCACAATGAATAGGTTTGGAGTATTAGTTTGAGTCCATCATAAACCAAATTGATTTCATGTGGAAATGATAGAATTATTCTAATATTAGAACATAAAAAGCAGGAGAATTTTTGGATAATAGTATAAAAGATAAGTGTAGAAGTTAGAGGATATAGAATTTGTTTTTTAAGTGACAACTCCTTTGTATTTTAATAATGGATTTCAAATTTGATGAATTTCTATTAATATGATGATACAAAAAATGAATTTAAAAAAAAGAGAGATACAATTGTAAAGTCTGGTAATAGTTGTGATTATTTATCACCTTTATAATATATTGACAGTAAATCATTACTTGTAAATAAAAATGGGTTTCATATAAATATGATTCGAAGAAATGAAGAAGAAACTCTTAAAACAGAGTTTACTATAAATTTTGATACAAATTATATATATATCTCAATTAGTAAAGATGGAGAATTCTTAGCGACTTGGGATAGCAAAACATAAGAAATATAAATAAGAAAATTTTTGATTGATTGAAAATAGTAATAGAATAACAAGAATATTTAAATATTTAAACTAAAATCATAATTTATTAATTAAATCACTTCTAGTATCATTTCTAATTATAAGTTTATTGAAATTTTGTTTTAATATTGTTATAAAACCTTGAAGATACTAATAATCTAACTATAAGTTATAAATTCTTTTGAAACTATCATAAATATTTATATATCTAAAAATTTTATTTTTAAATAAATAAAATTGATTAGTTATCAAATTTAATTTATTACAAATAAAGTAGTTTGTATTAGATTTAATAAAGGATACAGATCTAGTGTTTTATCGAATCTGATAGACTTATATATCAATACCTATATTTACATAATTAGAATTAATCGCGAATTTAATCCAAGTGATTTTAGATTCCTTCATATTCACTTCAACAATTATTGATAATTGACTTGAAAAGTAAAACATAAGATGTTTGAGTTCAAATTTTTTAAAATGAATGGGAGAATGCAATTCCATGTGAATTTACATGATAAATTCTATATAAGTTATCTGTAAAATTGGCCCATGGGCAGATTAATTAAATATATCAACATTATATTTATTTTAACTTTAAATTTCTTTGTTCCCTACACACAATGCTACATATGAAACTTGATGTATGAGCCTTGGGGCAAATTTAGCAATTCCAGTTTTTGGAATCATAGGCTGACCTATTACAAAATTTGCCTTTTTTAAACAACTAACCTTGTTACCATTAGTTGTAATCTCTACATCTGAAATACGTAATTCTATTGAAAAACTAATATCCAAAAATTTAGGAATGTTTTATTAATGTATATGTTTCATGTTTTAAAGTAGAGTATTCTTATGATTTATATTTAATATCGTAAATGATATGTTTCTCTAACTAATTGATTATATCACTTGATTATCGATTATTATATTATTGATAGTCTTGACCCAATAGTTCAACACTTTATTTTAAAGATAGCTGAACCATATAATATTTTTTATGTTTTAATCATGTCTATAATAAATTAATCTAATTATGTTATCCCAAATTGATCTAATTTGTTATATAAGATTTCTATTAATGCTAAACAATCTGTTATATATTTTAATGCTTATTCAAATTTTGTGAAAAGTTTTTCAACCAATCATGAAAATTCTTAACAATTAACAATTTGGTTTTGAATTGTGAATGAGATTCTTCATAACATATTTAACAGAATGGCCTTTTTTCTTTACGTTCTTAATCAATGCATACTCACAAAATAGTTTAGAATAATGATACTCTTTTTTGAAATTTAATAAGGTGCTTCTCATTTTTATATATTTTAATAATAAATCTGATTAAGGATAAAAAATTAATTAATGAAGAGATCAATTTATAGAATCTTAGTGATAAAGAAATGTTATTAAAATTATATTGTAAATATTTATTTTCAAGTAATTTTTTTTAATATAGATAAGTATTATGATTATGATAAACACAAAAATATAATTTATGATTCCCAAATTGAAATGGTTTACTAAATATTATTTAGTATCAAACTTATGTTTCAGTGGGTACTTATTGTCTTGATTTTTCATTTAATATTTGTTTTTATCATTTATGAAATTTATCAGATAAATAACATCAGGAACACTGTGAACATTCCATAAAATAATGAAATCCATGCAAAATTAACATCAATTAATGTGAAATCAGATTAATTACTTGAATCAAATCTTACTTTACAGTAACAATAAAAAGAAAAAATCCATTTGAAAACTTCTCGTCCTAATCTAAAAACAATAAAATAAACGAAAATTCAGATAGCTTTAATTCTTTAAAATATTTAAAAGCAGATTTGATTAAAAAAATAATAACTCTAGATATTTCTAAAAAATTATTAAATTCAAGAAAATTCATAAAACTATTAAAGCTATTTAAAAATAAATTATTTTTAATTAATTATTTTGCATTGAGAAGCCTAATGTTGTTATTTTTTTATTACAAACATAATTTTATACATCAAAAATAAGAATAGATTTATACTTAAAATAAACCCACTCTAAATTATAATGGATATTTGGGTATTAATTGAGAGGGTATTGAATTATCCTATTAATAATAATTAATAGTTATTAATTTACTTTTATTGAATAATAATATTTCATTTATCTAAGGCAATCCTTATTAAATTCATTAATTTATTATTTTTGAGCTTTTTAGGCAAAAATAACAAATTTTACAAAATATTACTATAAGTTTTCTAAATTTGAATAGAATACTGAATCTTGAATTTATTGTTAAAAAGTACAATTTTTTGGAAAGTAATTTGAATTTAGACATGATTTCTGTTATTTATCGTAAAAAATTGTTTGTATTTCAAAATATAACTCAAACAATATAGACTTAATTAGTGTAATTGAAATTCATTTAAATTAATGAATAAGAATTATTGATATTTTGAAGATTTCCTAATAATTTTTTTTGGCATCAACTTTAAAAAACTTATTTATTAAAGGAAATAATGAATATCTAACTATTGGAATTTAACCTAAGATTTCAATTAAGTTTAAGTATTTAAATGAAATTTTTGATAAATATTTTGCGATAAAATTCATTTACAAATAGGATTTTTTATCTATTACTCAAAAGTATAAGATAAGTTTTTAATTAATTCATTCAAATAAGTTTATTTAGATATTATACTAAAATTATCAACATAATAGCTAGTTATTCCTTTAAATATTAAAGGCAATTAGTATCTCAATTTAATTTGATTTTTTATTATTTTAAAAAAGATTAGAATTCCAATCTTGATTAAAATATATTGTTTGATTGAAAAATAGAGTAAAGCGAAGAGGATTCGAGGATCTTCAAAAATGTTGTTAGATAAAACAAGATAGTATTTAAAATTTTAATGATCTATAAATTTTTAAAACATTAATAAATAAAAAAAATAAAATCTATATTATTATGTAATATTATAGTTTTATTAAAAATAATACGAAATATGAATTATTATTCAGATTTTAACTATTTAAACATTTGATATATTCATTCTGATTTTCTCATATTATTTATAAGAGGAAATATTATGAACGTATAAAATAAGTAAGAATAGATGTTATTTAAGTTTTAAAAGAATCTAGTCTTAATTCTAGAAATAACCTTGTATAAAGTTTGAATCTATTATTTCGGGACACTATGTCTTAATGTTAATCTAATTTGTAGTCATCTTTATAACAACTATTTTAATGTTAATAAGCAATCATACTAATGAAATCAATAATTTATGCACATTATTAATTATATTCCTATTTGTTCTATTTGGATGTACATTATATAAACAAAAATAATTTATTGATGTTAAAAAAAGATTTAATAATAATGTCCAAGAATATGAATTAAACTAGAAGATCTATGAATCTACCATCAAATTCTATTACTTCTATACTAATTAATAATAATTTAAAATCATTAAATGGATATATTTATATATATCAATCAATATTTTACTCATAAATTAAAACTTTATACTCTTAAAATATTAAGATTCAAATATTTAAAACAATAATATAGAGATTTCTTAATCTGAATATTTACTAAATATAATTAATATCATAATTGAAGAACCAATGCTTAGTGTTTTATTCATACTTAGTTCAATAATAGCTTTTATTTTTATCATTTTAGAACTATTAAAATTATTCTTTTTTATTTTTTTAATCTATTAAGAATGTTCCATTCCGATTTATTATTACAAACATCATAATATCAGTATTTATATTTACATAATTTTAGAAATTTAAAAAANAAATAATAACTCTAGATATTTCTAAAAAATTATTAAATTCAAGAAAATTCATAAAACTATTAAAGCTATTTAAAAATAAATTATTTTTAATTAATTATTTTGCATTGAGAAGCCTAATGTTGTTATTTTTTTATTACAAACATAATTTTATACATCAAAAATAAGAATAGATTTATACTTAAAATAAACCCACTCTAAATTATAATGGATATTTGGGTATTAATTGAGAGGGTATTGAATTATCCTATTAATAATAATTAATAGTTATTAATTTACTTTTATTGAATAATAATATTTCATTTATCTAAGGCAATCCTTATTAAATTCATTAATTTATTATTTTTGAGCTTTTTAGGCAAAAATAACAAATTTTACAAAATATTACTATAAGTTTTCTAAATTTGAATAGAATACTGAATCTTGAATTTATTGTTAAAAAGTACAATTTTTTGGAAAGTAATTTGAATTTAGACATGATTTCTGTTATTTATCGTAAAAAATTGTTTGTATTTCAAAATATAACTCAAACAATATAGACTTAATTAGTGTAATTGAAATTCATTTAAATTAATGAATAAGAATTATTGATATTTTGAAGATTTCCTAATAATTTTTTTTGGCATCAACTTTAAAAAACTTATTTATTAAAGGAAATAATGAATATCTAACTATTGGAATTTAACCTAAGATTTCAATTAAGTTTAAGTATTTAAATGAAATTTTTGATAAATATTTTGCGATAAAATTCATTTACAAATAGGATTTTTTATCTATTACTCAAAAGTATAAGATAAGTTTTTAATTAATTCATTCAAATAAGTTTATTTAGATATTATACTAAAATTATCAACATAATAGCTAGTTATTCCTTTAAATATTAAAGGCAATTAGTATCTCAATTTAATTTGATTTTTTATTATTTTAAAAAAGATTAGAATTCCAATCTTGATTAAAATATATTGTTTGATTGAAAAATAGAGTAAAGCGAAGAGGATTCGAGGATCTTCAAAAATGTTGTTAGATAAAACAAGATAGTATTTAAAATTTTAATGATCTATAAATTTTTAAAACATTAATAAATAAAAAAAATAAAATCTATATTATTATGTAATATTATAGTTTTATTAAAAATAATACGAAATATGAATTATTATTCAGATTTTAACTATTTAAACATTTGATATATTCATTCTGATTTTCTCATATTATTTATAAGAGGAAATATTATGAACGTATAAAATAAGTAAGAATAGATGTTATTTAAGTTTTAAAAGAATCTAGTCTTAATTCTAGAAATAACCTTGTATAAAGTTTGAATCTATTATTTCGGGACACTATGTCTTAATGTTAATCTAATTTGTAGTCATCTTTATAACAACTATTTTAATGTTAATAAGCAATCATACTAATGAAATCAATAATTTATGCACATTATTAATTATATTCCTATTTGTTCTATTTGGATGTACATTATATAAACAAAAATAATTTATTGATGTTAAAAAAAGATTTAATAATAATGTCCAAGAATATGAATTAAACTAGAAGATCTATGAATCTACCATCAAATTCTATTACTTCTATACTAATTAATAATAATTTAAAATCATTAAATGGATATATTTATATATATCAATCAATATTTTACTCATAAATTAAAACTTTATACTCTTAAAATATTAAGATTCAAATATTTAAAACAATAATATAGAGATTTCTTAATCTGAATATTTACTAAATATAATTAATATCATAATTGAAGAACCAATGCTTAGTGTTTTATTCATACTTAGTTCAATAATAGCTTTTATTTTTATCATTTTAGAACTATTAAAATTATTCTTTTTTATTTTTTTAATCTATTAAGAATGTTCCATTCCGATTTATTATTACAAACATCATAATATCAGTATTTATATTTACATAATTTTAGAAATTTAAAAAACTGTTACTAAAGCTTAGATATTTTGTTAAATATCTATTTTTAATAATCTAAGTAAATCAATAGCATTAATTATTTTTTTGAAATTTACAGAAAATTAAACTTCTTATCTATTAATTGGATCAAGTATCTTTTATCATTTAATGATGATCATATTTTAAATTAAATTATTTTAATAAATTAATCATTTTGCTTCAATATAGTAAAATGTGAATGATATAAAATCAATTAAGGATTAAAATTTATGTTTTGATGATTATTTTATGTTTATAGATTCAATATTAAAGATTAAGAATTTTTAAAATAAACTCTTTTAGTATTTCCTTATAATTTGTGTAATATTGACTATAAATGGAAGCATTTTTTATGATAGAAAATTAATAAATAAATTCTCTTATGATAGTTTCATTTATTTTGATTGTGGATTATTTTAATTGGTAATACTTACCCTATTGATTATTGAATATATTCTAAAACCATTTTGTTTTAATTTAAATTTTTAAGAGTGCTTGTAAAATTAAACCTAAGTTTTTAAGGATCAAGAATTCATATAAATTGTTCCAGAATCGATAGAAATATCACTTTAATAAATACCACTTAAAACAGATCATTTTACTACAAATTAAAGAATGAATATCTAAAGAAACAATAGTTTTCATTAACTATCATTTGTGTCCCTTACAAATATCAAAAATTATTTTATTTATAATGTGGATCTGTAAAATAAAATAGTTAATTGTACAATTTGTTTAGAATAAATGACTGATTATCAATTAGAGATTGTTTAATTAAAATGTCATAATACTCACATTTTTCATGAGAAATGTATAACAGATTGGTTATCATAAAATAAAAATTGTCCACTTTGTAATACAAAATTTATGATTTAGTGAATCAAAATTATTTTTATTTCAACATTTTTTAATTTTTAGATATATTTTTATTAATTTTAAGAGTAGAAATTTACACTTTTATTAATTATTATAAGATCCTAATCAACTATAACTAATATATTTTTAAATAGAATCAAAAAATTTTAATAATTTTTATGTTAAATAATGATGTTGAGAAGATCTAAATTTTTCATCATAAATTTTTGGGCTCTTGAAACCCAATCTTATAAGTTATTTATAAAATAATAAAAAACTTCCATAATATAAATAATATTATACTTTTTCGTATAATATAATTCTTGTAAGGAATATATCAAAAAACTATTTAATTTATTCAACCAGTAGCAAATTGAAATTTTTTATATATTAAACAAAATTTATTATCTTTTCTAAGGAATTATAAATTGACAACTTAAATGGGGATCTTTTTAAATTGTGTAATCAATTAGATGTTAAGTTTACAAAAAATTATAGTACAATATATCAAATCATAAAGGTTCTAATCTCATAAATTAAAATAAAAACTATGATCAAAATCAAAATAAGTAATGGTTGGAAATAATGAAAAACTTGATTTAAACCCCTTAAACTCTATATTAATCGATAAAGTAAAAAAATATCAATAAGTATAACTTGTAATAAATAAAACTGAATTATGATTTGAAGGATATATTTATGATTTAATCAAAATATTTTAATTAAAATACGGTTAAATCATTTTAATAAGAACATTATATCGATATTAAGATGATGTGGGAGATTTACAACTAAAGAATAAATCAAACTAATATAACTTAGGTAGTTAAGATATATCAATTAAAATTTGGAACATTAACCAATAGAAATAAGCATAAAATTATCTGGTCAGATTGGATCAAATGTGACAAAATAAAAAACAATGAATATCTCATTATATTGTTATATTGTGTTGGGATGAAAAGGATAATTTTGGATAAATCAATTTAGGAACAGAATATATTTGTTGTAGAATGACTGATGGTTACATGAATGGTAAAACTAATCCAATTTTAGATGTATTAATATAAATTAAACTAATAAATTTGATTCAGATAAATATTTATATCCATTATTTTTTATTATTTAAATAATTGATATTTAATTATTATTATTTATTCTATACGTTAGAGTCTATAAATTAAATTTTACTTAAATTTAATTGGTTTTATAGATGATTAATCAAATGGATAAGATGGTTATTAAATAATTAGGATAATTAAATAAAGAGTTTTACTGCTTTCTTAATAAAATTTGAATGAAAGAAAGTGTTGTGTGAAATTTGGAATTCATTTTTCTAAAATTTTCTACTTTAAAAATCAAGAAAAAAAAAAAATGAATTGAATAAGAAATTCTATAAGTCTTATCTTATTCTAATTTCTATGAAGCATTTATTAAATTCTACTAAAAGAAATACTCATATTCATTATTAAAAAAAATAATAATAAAATGATGAAATAATTAAATTCTTATGGGTAAATATTATATGTTTGAAAATTGAGTGTTAATTTTGAATAATGGATTGGTATGTGAGAAAACTATTTATAATATGATAATGAATTCATATTAGATAGGAATGAAAGTAAATAATTGAAAATTACTTATTTTTAATGAAACTAATTATTAAATACCTTATTACACCTAATTTGGTACAATAAAATGATTTATAATTAACTCGTAATATGAAGCTAAAAGCATCTTTCTAATTCAAATAATAGGTCACTTAGATCTATTAATAACAAAAATAATCTTAATACTTGGAAATAGTGGTTATTATGGATTAAAACGATTTTGAATATAATTATCTTGCAATAGATATCACTAAAATAATACTTACATTCTATTTTGTTTAATTATGTTATTCTTTCTTAGGTTTCTCTCAGTTTGATAATTTGAATTTATCAATATTTATATTTGGTTAATTTAATGATAAAATTCTGATTAAATATATATTAATTTGCATTTAAATTTGATTCTTTAGCATATCAAATATAATAATTATTAATTAAAAATCTAACTTAAATGTATAATCCTAAGCTAGATGATTTAAATAAAAGCTGTTTAAGAAGAACAACAAAAAAGTAGGCACAACCTATAATCGTTTGTTATGATACTAAGACAAAATTGCCAATAGAATTATAATAAGTTTAATATACAGTTAATATATAACCTGGTTTAGCAGTAGTGCATATATGTTAAATCTATTCAACTGAATAAAACAAAGATCAATGTGAATTAGAATACTTGTTTACAATAGATTAAAATTCAGCTGTTACTAAGATGATAGTTGAACTTGGAGATTAAAAAGTTTATGGAGTTATAAAAGAATTAGAAGAGGCAAAAAAAGAATATGAAAAGGGAATAAAAGAAGGAAAGACAATGGTATTAAGCTAAGAAGATTCAAAAATATCAAATATCAAAAAAGTTAAAATTGGTTGTTTGAGTCCTGGTAAATCATTAAAAATTTAATTTGAATACATCCAACAATTATAAGTATTTCTGAATTAATTTTGGAAATTAGAATTGTCTTCTATGATAGATACAAGTTATCTTGCAGTTAATGAATTAAAGAACACATCTACAAATTATGCTTAATAATATTCATTTGTGAAAAACCATGTCAACATTTAAGCAATGAAATTAAATTATAAGTAAAATATTACTGTAATAATTAATATGGAAAAACCGATTACATATGCTAAATCTCCAACACATTCAATTTTATTAAATTCTGATATTAATGTCAAAGAAAAATAAATTGATTTATAAACTCCTTAGAACTAATTAATTATTACTTTAGATATGAATGATCCTGAAAATATGGCACCAAATAAAAAGTTTGAATTATTATTTTCCTCCAATGATGTTAATAACCCTTTTGCAATACTAAGCCATACAAATAATGATGCTTTATAACACATCAAATATTGTGCAACTCTAACCCTCATTCCAAAATTTAATGAATTTCCAATAGATGATGCTTATCAATCATATCTAAATGGTTTAAATTTATCATCATAGGCAAAAATTTAAAAGGGTTGTTATATATTTTTTATTGATCGTAGTGGTTCAATGGAAGGCATAAGAATTGAAAAAGCCAAACAATCACTGATACTGTTTCTGAAGAGCCTTCCTGAAGATTGTTCCTTTAATATAGTTTCATTTGGTAGCAATGTATAAAAGATGTTCGATATTGCACAAGCATATAATTAAAAAACACTAAATTAGGCAATAAAGTAAGTTCAAGAAATGGATGCAGATTTGGGGGGAACTAATATTTTAGAAGCATTGGTTTAAGGCATTTATGATGAAAAATATTTAAAAAGCAAAGATAGTTCAGAAACTTTAAATGCTTTTCTACTAACAGATGGAGAGGATTCTCCTGAAAATATCATTAAGTTAGTATCTAAAAATCAAAGACCTGAAACTAGAATTTATACATTAGGTATTGGGAATCATTGTAGTGAGTATCTAGTCTAAAGATTAGCTGAAGTAGGAAATGGAAAATGTTAATTAGTAGGAGATAATGAGGATATTAATTCTAAAGTTATAGATTTGTTAGAGGATTCACTAACTTATTATTTAAAAGGATTTTCATTGATACATAATATTGAAAAAGTTTCATAGATTATTCCTGATCCAAAATCAATAACTTAATTAAAGAAAAATCAAGAGTTAACTTTACAAATTTTATTTTCAAAGAAACAGAAAAAAGAAAATTTAGAATTCAAAATTAATTGTTTTGATCCATAAATGAATAAATAAATTTAATATGAAGTTAAAATGAATCTTAAAAGTTCCAAAGATAATGAATATTTTCATAAAATAGCCGCTCATAAACTAATAAGATATTATGAAAAATCAATTTCCTAATAAGCTCAATAAATGGATACTGTTATGATCAATGAAAAATGCATTAAAGATTTAGATATTATTAATTTGTCATTATAGAATCAAATACTATGTTCTAAAACAGCATTTATTTGTGAAGTATGCTAAAATGAATAAAATCTTTAAGCACTGATAAAGAAAAAGATGAAGATTAACTAATATTTAGAGGCAAATGATGAGTAACAGGAAAATATAGCATTTCAAAACAAAAGAACTAAAATGTCATTTAGATCAGTTAAAAGTTGTAGAAAACCTTCCAATATGATGGATTCATTGCAAGAACCATAAAGGCTGATGTGTTGCATGTAGTAAGAATCGATATTATAATCAAAATTTCAAAAATTTTCGGAAGAAGAAGATTAAGAAAAACTCATCAGTTCACATTAATTTTAAAAATAGGATTTATAATAGCCCAAAAAATTTCTTCCTAAATAAAGCATCCTAAGTGCTCCAAAGCCAAAAATACTATAAGAGGATTAACAAATGTTAGCATATTTTGAATTAATTGACTGCATGTAAGCAAATGGCAGTTTCCTATTAGAAATACATATTGAAGATTCACTAAAGTTAAGCAGAATAGATAATAAATATCATTTAGAAGATCTATGTTGGCCAACAGTGGTTTCTCTTTTTTATTTGGAATTATTTTGTCAGGATTCTAAGACTTCCTGGTAATTAATTTATAATAAAGCCATAAATTATTTATAAAAGAAAGGAGTAAATTATTTTTAGATTAAAACAGAATGCATTACAGATTATAGAAAGCTTTTTTAGAATTGATTAAATTGATTATATAAAATTAACTACTTTCTAAAATATATACATTAATTAATATCATTTTATCTTCTTATTATTTCATAATCTATTATTCAATTTAGCTCGCTACAAATTTTTTTAATATAATTGAATCAAATAGATTAAAGTGTAATTATCATAAACAAATTCGATTCGTTTTGATCTAAATTTATTGATTAAAACAAATTTAAAATTTATTGATTGTATTAATGTATTTTAAAAATTTTATAAGGATCTTAAGCAGTAAATGAGTATTTATTTTCTTAACTATTCTTAATTATTAAATACAATATTTCTTAAATCTATTATTAAATTGGTTGCTTTGAGGTGATTAAAATAAAACTAAAAATTTTAGATGAATTGATATTTTTTTCACATATTTAATTCTAATCATTCATATTCTAAATTTACAATGGCCCATTGTAATTAGAGGAATATTTTGGATAAAAGAAATAGGTTTAAGTATTAAATTATTAATATTTTCATAGTATTCTACCTAATTAAATTGATTATAGATACAGTATTATAACTTTTCATGAATGGGTTAAGATGTAATTTACATTATTAATGAATTAAATATGGGAAGATGATAAAAGTTGAAAATTTAGCCTAATCAAATTCTTCATCCTACCCAAATTTATTATTGATGATATCAAAAATATCATATTTGATTTATTAAGATTTTCATTGTTTTTTATAAATTAATCTCGAAATATAATTTAATTTAAAATTGTTGCATTCTACTCTTAATTTTGTCATTTAAAAAATCATATTTTTTTTAAGATCAACATAAATAGAAATTCATAAATCAAGACAAAATTAATTTATCATTAACTTTTTAAAATATTCACTTTACATCAAAACTGATTCAAAATAAATTTTAAAATCTCAATAGTTGATTTGAAAAATAAATCTGTTAAGATATGTTATATTTTATTTATCATTTCTTTTATACATAATCAATTTTATAATCTTTTTAAATGTGCCTTATTGATAGAATCATAGAAAATAGACAAAATAATAAATTTAAATAATAAAGTTTGATTTATATTAATTAATTTTCATTTTATCTTTATCTTTGGATCATTAAATTAAACATATACGTGAACATAATGAACTAGGATTTGATACAATTTAAACTTTTTAAATTTTATTTCCCTATTGTTGTTATTAAGTTTAATTTTATTATTTATTATTCATCTCAACAACTTAAACGAATATCTCTCTAAGTTTTTTATCAGAATTTTCTATAATTGATGATGATTAATCGTCTAAATACTTTAAAATAATTAATGCATCATTAGTCCCATTTATCCAATATTCATTTTATTCATCCTATTGATTTTCTATTTTGTTTAACTAACCTAAAAATTAATTGAACTACTAATTATTTTATTAATAGGTTTCTTATTATTACTACTTTGCAAGTTAAATTGCTGCAATTTTTACTTCAATTTCTAATTCTGAAGGGCTAATTATATTATAGCATTTTAAGATATTAGTTAATTTATTAAGCCTAACCTTAAATTTATTTTCCTTTTTTGATTCAATTGCATAATCGAGTGCATCATTTATAATATTAAATGCTTCACCACCTACTGGTATAAATCCTGTAACCTTTGATCCAACATTAAAAACCTTTTGTACTATATCTAGTACTTTTTCAGAAGTGCTTTCAATCATAGCATCTCTATTCATTTAATATAATTCTGAAGAAATTTGCTGCATTGCCTACAAGTAATAATATAATTTCCAAAATAATGCTTTGTAATAAATAAATTGAGTTTTATTTTCTTCTTTTTAAAGAAATTTCATAGATTCTTATATTTGAAAGCTATCCTATTCTTTTAACTATTTATTATCATCTTCTAAATTACTTATTCTTTCATTTTATTTATTTACAATTTCTTATAATAGTACTAATTATTCTTTAATCTATTTCAAATCTTCTTTAGTCAATTATAATGAATCTAACTCTTCTTGTTTATCTTATGGCTATTTTAAATCTGTCTATTCCATTAATTAAACTGTTAGCTTTCTTTCTAATATGGTGAATTTATCCTTCACATCATTTAAAGTTTGGTTTTTTTATTCAAATTGAGTTTGTAACTTTTAAATATCTTATCTTAAAAAATTTATTTCATCTTATATTTCTTTTAACAAAGTTACTTTTTTTTTAATGAATTATATATTCTCCTCTGATAAATTCCATTTTTTCCTCTTCTACTCAGTGATTTAGTCTAATTATGCAAGTGCTTATGTATAATAATTCATTGATTGATTATAATTTGACCGAAAATAATAATGATCTGCTAAATTCACCATTATAAGGGGATTGTCTGATTCTAATTTAATTGCTTAAATACAATCTTAAAAGGCCTTCTCATATTAGCCATATTCTTTATACAAAGTTCCTTATTTAAATTATGATTCAAATTACCTCTGTTGTTATAAGCTTTAGCATCATTTGAGTTCAATTCAATTGCTTTAGTAAAATCTTTTAATGCTAAATCAAATTTCTTCATACTTCTATAATACAATCCTATTTAGTTCAAAATCTTGATTACCTCTGTTAAAATAATTTATAGCATCTTTAGGATCCAATTAAATAGCTTTATCATAATCTATTATGGCTAAATCTTTATTTCCTAAGCTTTAATGCAATAATCCTATAATAACCTACAACCTAAATACCTCTTGAACTGTAAATTTAAGCAATATTAGGGTCTAATTCAATTGNAGTTAAATTGCTGCAATTTTTACTTCAATTTCTAATTCTGAAGGGCTAATTATATTATAGCATTTTAAGATATTAGTTAATTTATTAAGCCTAACCTTAAATTTATTTTCCTTTTTTGATTCAATTGCATAATCGAGTGCATCATTTATAATATTAAATGCTTCACCACCTACTGGTATAAATCCTGTAACCTTTGATCCAACATTAAAAACCTTTTGTACTATATCTAGTACTTTTTCAGAAGTGCTTTCAATCATAGCATCTCTATTCATTTAATATAATTCTGAAGAAATTTGCTGCATTGCCTACAAGTAATAATATAATTTCCAAAATAATGCTTTGTAATAAATAAATTGAGTTTTATTTTCTTCTTTTTAAAGAAATTTCATAGATTCTTATATTTGAAAGCTATCCTATTCTTTTAACTATTTATTATCATCTTCTAAATTACTTATTCTTTCATTTTATTTATTTACAATTTCTTATAATAGTACTAATTATTCTTTAATCTATTTCAAATCTTCTTTAGTCAATTATAATGAATCTAACTCTTCTTGTTTATCTTATGGCTATTTTAAATCTGTCTATTCCATTAATTAAACTGTTAGCTTTCTTTCTAATATGGTGAATTTATCCTTCACATCATTTAAAGTTTGGTTTTTTTATTCAAATTGAGTTTGTAACTTTTAAATATCTTATCTTAAAAAATTTATTTCATCTTATATTTCTTTTAACAAAGTTACTTTTTTTTTAATGAATTATATATTCTCCTCTGATAAATTCCATTTTTTCCTCTTCTACTCAGTGATTTAGTCTAATTATGCAAGTGCTTATGTATAATAATTCATTGATTGATTATAATTTGACCGAAAATAATAATGATCTGCTAAATTCACCATTATAAGGGGATTGTCTGATTCTAATTTAATTGCTTAAATACAATCTTAAAAGGCCTTCTCATATTAGCCATATTCTTTATACAAAGTTCCTTATTTAAATTATGATTCAAATTACCTCTGTTGTTATAAGCTTTAGCATCATTTGAGTTCAATTCAATTGCTTTAGTAAAATCTTTTAATGCTAAATCAAATTTCTTCATACTTCTATAATACAATCCTATTTAGTTCAAAATCTTGATTACCTCTGTTAAAATAATTTATAGCATCTTTAGGATCCAATTAAATAGCTTTATCATAATCTATTATGGCTAAATCTTTATTTCCTAAGCTTTAATGCAATAATCCTATAATAACCTACAACCTAAATACCTCTTGAACTGTAAATTTAAGCAATATTAGGGTCTAATTCAATTGCTTTGTTATAATCTTCAAGAGCCTCCATATTTTTTCCAATATTTTAATAGAGCATTCCTATATATTCTAATACTTTATTACCTCTGTTATTATAAGTATAAGCATCATTAGAATCTAATTCAATTGATTTGTTATAATTTATAAGTGCAATGTCTGTGTTTCCAATGTTATATTATAAAAGGCCTATTTCATTTATACTAATTTTAACACCTCTATTATTATATGCTTTAGAATCATTGGGATTTAATTCAATCGCTTTATCATAGTCTACGAGTGCCTATTGTTAATTATCTATGTCTTCATAAAGATTTCCTATCAAAAATATTATGTTAATTACCTCTATCGAAATAAAAATCAGAACAATTAGGATCTAATTCAATTGCCTTGTTAAGGTCTATAAGTGCTTATTTAGTACTTCCAATTTTAGTAAATAGAAGTCCTATTTAACTTAATAATGTAATAAACCTCGATAATTATATATACAAGCATCATAAGGGTCTAATTCAATAGCCTTGTTAAAATCTAGAAGTGCCTCCTCTTACTTACCAATTTTATCTAAAAAAATTCCTATTTAATTAAATAACCTGAGAACCTCTGCTCATATATGCAAAAGCATATTATCTATCCAACTCAATAGCCTTATTATAATCTATGAGTGCCTAATCTTTATTTCCTTAGTTTTTATATAAATTTCCTATTCATTAAAATGATATGATACCTCTGTTACAATATGCCAAAATACATTTATTATCAATTTCAATCGCTTAATTATAATATTATAATGCTTCATCTTTATTTCCAATTGCATTCTTCACACATCCTAATTATAGTGAATATTCTTAACCTATTCTCATGTAAGCCAAAGAGTATTTAGGATTAATTTGAATGCATATTTCACAATCTTTTAACGCTTCCATAAACATATTTTTTCGATAAAATCCCGTGGCTAAATTAATTAATACATCTTACCTCTATGATAATATGTTTCTTCATTTGATGCTCCTAATTCAATAGCTTTATTGAAATCTTCAACTGCCTGATCATACATTCTTTTTTTTAAATATAATTCCCCTAAGTATTTATGATTAAAAGAAACCTCTCAATATTAAAGCCTTAGAATCAAAAGAATTAAGCTTCAAAGCATCATTTATCAATTTTAAAGCTTCATCAATTTTATTTTCTCTAAACTTTAACTAATTAGCAAATCTAATTATATATTTACAAAACAAGCTTAATATAATTCTTCTGCTAATTATTAGTTCTCTCTATTTTCTTATTCTTTACTTGATTACAGATTTGAATCATTTTACATTTTAAATAAAAATTAATATTATTTTAGCTAACATTATAGTTTTTACTTGTTTGAAATTTTGCTCTAACTAAAATTTCTCTAAAAGTATTCTTTAAAAAGAAAAATATTATCCATTAAAATTTCAAGATTGTTTTAATGAGAGCTTCTTAACAGAATTGAACTAAGAACTATTTGTCATCAATATTTACAACTTAGATATATACTTTTCTTTTTTCAACAATAATATCAATTGATAATTTGAAAAATCCAACTTTTTAGTCAGATTTATTTACTAATAAATGAAAATTTATAATAAATTAATAATTTTCTTTTATAATAAAAATTACATTAAGTAAATGAGAATTTAATACAAGAATAGCATTATATTTTTATATAATTTAATTTTTAATATTAAAAGCTACCTTTTCTAATTTAAACTCAGGTAATCATTATGTAAATTTAGTCTTAAATGAAATTGATTTATTGTTAATTATTTTATAATCATAGGTTTAAAATTAATGAGATTTTCATGATAGTAATTTATAAATCTTAATAAAAATCTTTATTTTGATATATTAAAATGTTACTATTTCGAATAAATGAAGATTTATTTTTTTCAAATTATATGCTGTATTTAAATATTCTAATATATTACATTTTTCAATAATTATTCATTAAATCTATTTCTTATTGAAAATTATATTCTTATGGCTTAAAAGAATTTTATATTCCCTATTAATCTGATTATCAATGAAATTGATTAAGAATCTAATAAAACAAAAAGTCATTTTAATTAAATAAATAGTATAGAATATGGTTAATTTATTAGAAATATAAAAAAAGAATACGCAACTTTCCACTAAGAAAATAGATATTCAATACTTTAGTTTAATGATTTGTGATTATAACTTCTCTACTAATAATTTTAACCAAATTATAAACCAATTAACTGTTTGTATGAATATTATATTCTAAAATTTCATCAATTTATTCATTCAATAACTATTCTGTCAAATATATAAAGTCTAGGTTAGTTTTCTGGATTATTAAAAATTCACTTCAAACTGATAACATCAACTATAGATTGAATAATTAAAAAATACTCCTTAATGAATTTATTATTAGGCTAATTTTAGTATGAGAATATTTTTTCTTTATTCCAAATAAATCTCATCTTTTTTGAAAAGTATCCAGTATCTTCTTTTGCTGAACTAAATACCTTTTGGAACTATAATTTTTCCAAGTCTAATCATGAAGGTATTTAGATGCTTAACGTGCTTAATTGGTTCGCTGAGGCCATCAGTAAGTTTTATTTTATGGAGAAGAGTCAATCTATTTAAGATAACTTAATATTTTTACCATTACGTAATGTAAAATGAAGAATTTTGGCTTGGAGTTTGTAAGCTCTACTCACTCAATTCGTTTAGAAGAGGAACCTGATTGAGTTGTATTTTCGTTCTTAGGAATATCTTAATTTTTAATTTCAGATCACCCTTTTACTAAAGAAATTAGGACAATTACAAGATTAAAATTTTGTATGTTATGGATTGGAGAAAAATATTTTAGAAATAATAAATTTTGAAAATCTTTTCAAGAAAAGAAAAAATATCCTGGAAAAATAATAGTCAGATATTTTGATATATTCTGAGAAGGCAATTTTTAATTAATATAATAATTGGTAAGTCCCTTCCTTGAAAAAATATTCGTTTGTTTTCTTTTTTTCTTATTCATGCTTTAAATGTTCCTGGATTTTAGCCAGAATTCTTTAAAGCACCAAAATAAGTATTTTTAAATTGAATTTTGAAATCTTTGAGTCATATTAGATGACCAAACCTACAAAAGTAAGCAGTTTAACCTATATAACAAAATTATTGAAGAAATCTCTTAAAATTATTACTCATTCCTATTAATCCTTAGTTCTCTATCCCACTCAAACCAAATGAACATACTATCCATTTGAACACCTATGATACTCTAAGTTCCATTTGCTCCTATTCAAATGAAAATAGACACACAAAAACTCCATCATCTTTTTCATGAAAATTTAATCATTTCTACTATTAGGCCAAAGTTATCTTTCTTTGTCCTATTACTTAAATGCTATACAATAAATTAAGATTTTTAAATTAGTCGAGATATCGACCTATCCATTGTCTCTGCTCTATCTTGTAACATTTATCTCTCTCAAAAACTTTATAACTTTATTCTCTTATGAAAATTTTGCTTAACTCTTGTATTAATAATTCAAAGATTAAATAAATAATAAACGCTAAAAAAGCAGTTATCTATAAAATGAAATTAAAATCTCTCTACTTATCAAAGCGCACTAAATTATTCTTCCATCTCTGTCTTTTAATTAATTTTTCTGATTCTTTTACCCTATTTTAATTACTCCTGAAAAAAATACACTCTATCCTTATTCCTTATACAAGTAATCCGTGCTCTCCAATTAAAACTGATTCATTAATATACATAAGTCTGCAAATATCTTTTTAATATCAACGGTTTCTTCAATTATAATTCTTACTAATCAATTCTACATCTAAAATTTCATGTAAAATATTTTTATTGAAATTTGTTGTGGAAGTTTTTTGAAATTTATGTTATTTTATTGTAAAAATATAATTTATAATAAACTACATAACAGAAACTCAACAGATGATTATTATCAAAGGGATAATCTTCATTATTTGTTAAACAATTCATTTTTTATATATTTTAAATTTTATATATTTTGATTTATAATTTTCATTCTTCTCTATATTTTCTAATTTAAATTTCTTTAGATTAATAATCCCAAGTAATAAAATACTCTCCATCATCACTCAATTAACCAAATATAAAATTTGTATTAAATTGAATAGATTACTGAACTTTAAATTCATCTTTTTCTGTCTTTCTTATAAAATTGACATATCCACTATGTTTACTAACTAATATCTATTTTTATTTAATAAATTATTATGGAAAGAATTACCAATTATCATAACCTTAATTTACAGTAATATCTTTTGTCTTAGTGAACTATTTACTTACACTATTCATCTCATAGATATGCATTAAATTACCATCACAAGGTTAAAATGTAAATAGATTATTGTTGATAAAGCATAATCGATATCCTAAACAATCAACATTTATATTTTATATAACAATCCACCTTTTACTTTATTCAGAATATTCAATTACTAATATTTTATTATCGTAACCACAAGAAATAACTTTATCTTGTTAATCATTTAAACTTATTTAATAAACACCATTAGTATTATCAGTAATTGTTTATTAACAGATCCATTCATTTTATTTAATCCAAAATTTAATAGTTTAATCACTACTACTAGATATAAAAAGATCTTCATTCTTATTCAAAATTAAACAACTAATATTATTATTATGTCCATTAATTGTTTATGAGGAATTCCATTAATAATTGTTATTTCTTGACCAAATTATAATAGATCCATCAGAATGTCCAGATATCAATTAATTTGATTATTACATGAAATTTAAAGTGCAAACATAATTACTATTTACATTTAAGACTTGAATTTATTACATAATTTCTTATTTAAATTCATATATTTTTATTTATTTATTATTACAACCAATAGCTATAATTGAATTATCTTTATTAATTGCAATACAATAACAATATTATTATTATTTAATTGAATTATTTGAAATTAATTAATAATTAAATGGTTTAATATTGAATTAAGATTTAATTTATTATTATTATGATTATATTAATGATGTTTAATTTAATTAATATGATTGTTTGATTTTTGAATTAATTAATGGTTTAAGTTCTTAAAGAATATTTGATTAAAATTGAGATTAATCAATTAAATGGAATTAATTAAGTTTTGGTAAAGATAATTCCAATTTAGTATTGTTAAACTTATAAATTGGAGAATCTAT